GTATCCAGACTGCTCCAGAGCCGGAGCAAGAGCGTTAAAGAGCTGAAATTTCGTAGCCGAAGCTGAAAGTTTGAAAATGTGGAGCCGGGACTGCAATTCTAAAAGGTGCGGAGCTGGAACTGGATCAATTTTTTTTTTCAAGTTGGACATTACTGGTTAACGGTACAATGCGTATGCATCCTGATCATTCAGCTGCGAAGAACTCGCGGTTATTACGTCATGACTAGCGATGTGCCTGTGCCTGTTGCAGATTAATTGTTCGGTTTNTTCAGCTGCGAAGAACTCGCGGTTATTACGTCATGACTAGCGATGTGCCTGTGCCTGTTGCAGATTAACTGTTCGGTTTCACTTCTGCTAGAATGAAACAGCTCATGATTAGAATTTGGGCTGCGGAAACAGATGACAGAAGTGTTACAGTTAGTGGCAAAAGAGAATAGAACAGCTTTGGATGATTTGGTGCGGGAAGGGAGACAAAGCCGCGATGCTTCTGAAGATGTGAACATAAAACAGAACAGAATAGAATATTTGAAAGCGAAGAGCAGAAGTGGGCAAAAAAGTTCGTCCAAAATGTGGAACACATATATCACTATTTGTCAATTAGCTCTCGGCATCAAATCCTATCATACAAAATGATATTTTTTCTCCTTTTGCATCTAATTTGCGCACCAAATGATTTGTTTTCTGCATATATGAATAAACAAAAGTAGCCAAAAAACTTATGTAAATACCACGAAAGGGATGGAAATTTCCGAAAATGAACGCGATCGTCCCTTCATCCAAATCATTCCTCTGCATGTAAACATCATCAAAAAATTTCATGATTGATTGTAGAAACAAATAAAACATACGCGATTGAGTCGCTTCACCAGGGCATCGATGACACGTTTTTGGACATTGTTGAGTCATAAGATTGTAATAATAGACGTTATTGCAGAGATACGCTCGTTGTGGACAATCCGATGGACGGCCAGGCAAGTGCTGGTCCACACAGGACGCAGCGGTGGTCGGGGTGGGAGTTGTTGTGGTGACTACAACTCATTTAGTTAATCAGTTAAGAGGTAGGTAACTTCAGAGAATGTGATGGTGAATCATAAAGGATCAGTGCCTTTATTTCAATTTCAGTTTTGAATTCCATCAAATTACTTTCTCATGAATGTGGCATTCTCATAATCGCTTGCTTACTCTCCTGCTCACAAGCTACCCACCATTAGGTACCTTCATCCAGTTTTCAGCTGATTATATAGAATCATAGTTTTTGCGGGGAAATAGCTACGAAATTATTTTTATCATAAAGTTTATATGTGAATTTAATAGGTCTGGATGATTGGTGAATGAATCTGGATGAGTCTAAATTGAAGCTTATCAAATATTCTGGAAAGCGAGAAGGCATGAGAACAACAAGTTTCTAATCCACCAAATATTTCTCCTTACTTTGAGGAACAACAACCGGTACAGTGGCGCTTGTAGTTATTACTGGGACTGTGACTGGAACCGGAGAGGGAGCTTTAGTAGTAGGAGGAGTTGTTGCCGGCGAAGAGGCAGTAGTAGTCGGTGCTGAGCCAAAAGCGATACAAATATCGCCTTTTGAGCTTGCGACACATAACATATTATTGTTAGGGCATTGCGCTGTTTTATTGGGCATTTTCAAGCATGCTGAAAGTTTGCTCAGAACCTTCAAATGCACAACTTTTCAAGTGCTGACTATTCCAAGCGGAGACTGCTAAAACGACTATTACTCATTATAGTAATCTTCAGCTGGAATACCAAAAGTAGTACTGTCGAGAAATCGCTGCATTCATGAAAGATTCCGCTGATCAAAAGCGCATTCATTTTCATCTATTCATTGTGGTTTTTTTGCAATTTTTCTTTTTCTAGTATCCCATCAACATCCAGTGAATAGCATCAAATCAAAGCCGTTCACTTAAAACATTGAAGCTGAATCGTAAACCATTTGAATTGCGGCGATCAGTTCGAGAATAGTTAAATGTGTCGAGTAAAAATTTTGCAACTGTAACAACTTACGCGCTGTTGCCAGATAACATTGATTTAGAACGCATGCGTAGTTCTGAGGACAGAGCTGTGATCCATCCGGCATGTTGAGACATCC